CAAGATCAAAGTAAAATTTGTGTTTATCATTTGTACTCTGCAACCTGCCCCCTCTCCTCCCAGCAATAAAAGTAATATAGGTTCACTGTGAAAGGTTTTTAAGAAATGAATAAATTTTAATTTTCTGACACTTTTCAGATATTTTTCCCCACTCAACAAAATAAATTTTATTCCCTCCCAATAACACTGTAATACAAATTATATATTTATGATGGAGATATATTCACTATGTGCACAGCATTAACTAACCTTTCCCCTACCAGGTAAAGATTTTAAATGACAGCACTCCTCCTACAGAGAAGACAGAGCAACCCATCTCCCTCTCTACAGTGAGGCAGTGTTCACAGAAGGCCAGAGAGACCTTCCTGGGATTTTCCCATTCGAGCTAGTAGAGAACATCCTCTTACCTTTGGGGTTATGATACTAGGAAGATGCCACATTACATCTTATATACTGTGAAGGCAATTAAGCCAACACAGTGAAGAAAGCAGCCCAAGAAGAGAGATGGACACAGTAAAAGATGTAGCACCATCACCTGAGCCTGTGAATCCAACCATACCTATATTTTCTGGTGATTTGAGCCTATATTTGCTTTCTCATTTAGACTAGTTTGACATGTATTCGTGTCCCTTATCCAAGAGCCCTGACCAATACAAGTTACCAAGAGTTGTTCATATCACTTAATATTCTTTAGAACAGGGGTCCTCAAACTACGGCCCGCGGGCCACATGCAAATACAAATATTGTATTTGTTCCCGTTTTGTTTTTTTACTTCAAAATAAGATATGTGCAGTGTGCATAGGAATTTGTTCATAGTTTGTTTTTTTTAAACTATAGTCCGGCCCTCCAACGGTCTGAGGGACAGTGAACTGGCCTTGTTTAAAAAGTTTGAGGACCCCTGCTTTAGAAGCATGGTTTGAAATGCTGACATAGCATTCCATCACATGAATATACAATAATATATATCATTATCTTATTATATTAATAGTATTAGTGCCCCCCTACTATTGATAATTTGGGGCTCTTTCCAATTTTTTATAATTAAACACATTATGTTTCTTTTAGAAGCCTCAACTGTACATCAAATTTCATTTTCATGAAGACCATATTCAGCATAGAAAACAATGCCCCAGACTTAAAAGAGGTATAGTGTTTAAAAATCTATTATTTAAAGATCCTCAACATTTTCTTTGCCAAGCAATAAGTTATTGGGACAACGGTCTCAGAGAAAAATAACCTCCCAGCTCCTTATATGCACAATGAATGACAAAGTGAGAACCTTTATACTAAACTCACAAATTCCTAAAGCTACTCTTTTGTCCTGGTCTTACATCGATCTATCAGTTCTTTTTCAAACTAGATTATATACTCTGTATACATCAATTCAAAGTATTTTTAAAAAACAGAAGTTAGTGCCCAGCCAGTGTGGCTCAGTGGCTGAGTACTGACCTATGAACCAGGAGGTCACAGCTTGATTCCCAATTAGGGCACATGCCTAGGTTGCAGGCTCAGTACCCAGAAGGGGGTGTGCAGAAGGCAGCTGATCAATGATTCTCTCTCATCACTGATGTTTCTATTTCTCTCTCCCTCTCTGAAATCAGTAAAAATATATTAAAAAACACAAAACAAACTTTTAATTTGCTAAATCATGTTCCAAGATCTTTATAACATGAGAAACTAATGTTCAAGCCATTATTTTCTGCTGACCTTCATAAAATGGTGACAAATAAGAGATTCTGTACGATATTCTATAGCTAAGACTCTTACTTCCCAAAGAAGTAGACAAAAAGAAGTAAATTTTTAGGGCATTTAGTAAAACAAGAAAGACAATACTAGTAAACATTCCTTCACTAATCACAACTATAAGCTTGACTAAGGCAATATAATGAGGCTCAAAGCTTGGAAATACATTTAACCAAAGTGGAATTATTCTACCTTTTTTGACAATTTCTCCCCTTTGTAATACATTTAAATGCAAATGTACAATGCCCTACCTATCATAGGATCTACTAAAAAATAACTTTTGGTATGAAGGCAATCTGTTTTAAACCCTTTCTAAAAAGATTAGAAATAATAAGCAATTTCATGCTAGAATGACTGGACTATAGAATCACAGTACAATAAACTCATCAATGGCCTTATGAACTTAATGAATGGCGCTACAGTCTTTAGTATTATTACACTAGCAATCTATAAATCTGTAAAAGTAGCATTAGATTAAAAGACATTTACCATCTCCTACTTCTTCATTCCCTGCCACATAAATTCCTATGCTTAGAAAGTGCCTGCTTCCGCCTATAATAAAAATAAAAAAGATCTTAGAAGTCAAGAATATTGAATTTCTTTTATGTTTTTTCTTCTTCTTTTTTAACCAAATTTATTCTCCTTTCTTTTAGATCTTAGGCACAAATCATTATTTACTTTCTTGGACTAATGTTCTATAGTTTTAGAAACAGACTTTTACTTTTTCCAATGGTAGCATAACTACCTATTTCCAATACACTGGGCAAGAACAAAAAGTACCTTAGGCATTAAAATTTATCAAGCGACAACCTATAAAAGATATGCTGAATATATCTGTGGTTGGAAATCTTCATGACTTTGGTTAACATTTTGACTAAAATGAGGTGATGGAAAAATTTCCAACAAACAATACATTTTTTAGATAAAAAAGAAGCTTCCCTAAAACAGGAAGTCAATTCTGTAGACTCTTTAAATCCTAAGAAACAAACAAACAAATAAAAAAGACCCAGGGAAATAAGTATTAAAACAAAACACCGAACTTCCCTTTTAGCAACACGTAAGTATGAAATGGCAACCAACCCTTTAATCTTTTAAAAAAATGCGTAATGGTTTAAGGATATTAACTAAAGCAGTAAAAAATAAATTACTAAATAAAATTTATGCCACCAAAAGAGTTTAACTAGTAGTAAACAGAGCATAAACGCTTTCACTTCTTGGCATCTGAGTGGGAATCCAGAATGGTATCTATGCAAGTGAGATACGGGGAGAGGAGCAACTATTCAACAGAACGCTGGGGGAAGTTTTTTCATTTAAGTAACACCTTACTTTTATGGTTAAGGAATTTTCAAAAAAACCAAAACAACTGTATATTCAACTTTATGCTGTACATGCAGTACAGGCCCTAAAAGGCTTCAGAAACATAGTCAAGTTAAACAACGTGTGTTTAATTAAAATTCTTACAAAAATGGAGTACTTCGTGGGACAATAGGATTCTCACCACCTTCCCTCCATTATATGCTTAATGTAGATGACTTTCAAGTTAATCATAGTGCTAATAAGTCATTTATGTATTGAGAACTATTGATAAGACATAAGCAGAAACATTTAAAAACACACATTTAAAAGAAAAGGAACACTTCCATACTTACAAATATGGTAATATAAACATGTCATAAAAAAATGCCTAGGATATCACAAGTAACATGCTCTTAATAAACTCAAGGCATTGCCTACAACTAACTGGCTTGGTTTGTACAACCTAAAAATGTAAGGCAGAGATAATACCATTAGCAAAACTTCACATCTAACTTCAACAATGTCCAAGACCTCTACCATGGCTTTCAGGTAATATCAGCAAGCACCCCCTCTCCCTTTTGCAGATGTGCCTTCTTTTAAAATGGAAATAGTAATTGGAAATGACTTTACAAAGAAGTTTTACACTAATTAAAAAAAACGACTATTTATAGCTTGAGACTCTTTGGCACTTAAAATATAAGAGGAGCCAGACTTCCCTCAACTTCACCATAATGCAGCATCACTACAATATACAAGAACCGTGCAAAAAGACGCCCCCCCAAACAAACAAACAAACAAACAATACAAAAAAGCAAGCTGACGTTGATCCTTGGGCCCCTTTATCTTATGTTGAAATGTTAGTGAATAAAAAACAAACAAACGTGTAAATAAATTAAACACTGAATACTTAAAAGTCACCATTCAGCTGCACACATTTATGTCTTCACTGCTGGTATTTTTAACTTTGAATCCTGGGAAATTTCTGTCAATCCCCTGGTTACCCTCTCCTCCCATCCCCCCCCAATCAAAACAAACAAAAAGCAGAATCTCCTCCCCAGCTTTTCTCTTTAAACACAACTAGTTCAACTACTTTTTTCCAGCTATTTTTGCTCTAAATTCTCCACAGCACTTTTACCCTTAAACCCAAACGAATCCTGGACAGGACTAATTAAGCTATGTTTCCAGGAGACGTATAAACGCCGTTTCATGGTCGGGCCCGGGAGTCGCAAGGCCCCCCCGTCTTCAGACCCTTCCCCCAGCATGTGCACCCGCTCAGTTCAAGGGGGAAGCAGGGGGTCCGCAGTGCTGGGCCCGACAGGGCAGAGCCGGGGCCTAGACCACTTCACGGTCCCCGCGGCGGCTCGTGCGGCGGAAGGAGGTAGCGGCTCCGAGAACCGGGCGCCGGAGGCCTGAGGCGTCCAAGTGAACGAGGGAGGCGACCGGACTAGGAGCGCAATGCTCCAGACCCCCTACGCTGCCTCCCTTACCCTCCCCTCCCCCATGCAGGAGCAGCAGGGCCCCGGCCAGTGCGGGAATGGGGAGGAGGTAAACCCGTCCTGTCACTGCACCTGGAGAAGTTGGAAGGAGCACATGTCTTACGGGGAGAGGCCGCGGCCGCCCCGGCCCTGGCCCCTAAAGACAGAAACCCCCTCCAGCCCCAGAGGTCCGTCCCCCGAGCCTCACCAGGTCGTAGTCCTCCTCATCATCGCACATGAAATCATCTTCCATGTCAGACATCTTGGCCGGGGAAAAGGGGGAGGGGGAGGAGAAATTGGAGACAACCTCCTCCCACAATCCTCCGCGGTTCAGAGGCGTCACTCCCAGCTTCTCGTCGCCTTCCCGTCGCTCTTAGAGGAGTTGAATGTTTCCTTCCGGAACTAACGCGCTCGGCGTTGAGAGGTTTCGCTACGACCCCAAAAGGGAGCGCACCGCTCTCTCTTCCTGCGAAACGGTTGGTGCCTTAGCAACCAAACCTAGCAACTGGGGCAGAGTCTGGTGCCGCGGAGCTCAGCTGAAGAAGGGTCTTGGAAACTTTGCACTCGCACACATCGCGCCGTTTCCAGCCTCCTAGGCTAGGGAACGGTCCCCTCCCTTGCCTGGGGCTCTGGAACCATCTCATTCTGGTGAAAGTAAGAGGCAGCCTAGGACCAGAAGCCTTTCGCGGAGAAAAGGGGTGACATGCCCATCCTGTATGACAGGTAGTATTATTTCTGCCATCATTATTTACATGCGTTCTTAGCCCGCACATTGTGGTGGGTGTTCCTGTGAATTTTGGAAACTTTTTCAGCAGTAGAGTTTACACGAAATGTTTGTTGTATTTGTAGTGGGCAAAAACGGTTCTGTGGATATCCCAAATTAGTTAAGCATCGATCAACTGAGGCGCCCCAGGTCTTATTCAGTTGTTCAACGAATTATAAACTGACCTTTACTGCTCTTAGGACCAAATTAAGGTAGCAGTTAACGACTGTTTTTTTAAAATGCATTATTACACAAAGTCATTAGCATGATCCGAAACAAGAAAATGAAATAAAGGGAAAAAACTGCTTCTAAAACAACACATTCCTTATAAACGTCCAGTTCTGCCCACTTAAGTCCACAAATTTTATATAGTTATAGCACAGATATAATTTCGGGTTCTTTTTGTTACATACTTAGTTATGTAACAGCGTAAAACATGTGTACAATATGTTATTGAGAATGATTATTTTAATGGTTGTTTAATAATCTCTCTGTTGAATGAACCATTTACTTAAGCTGACATTTTGATACATTTAGAATTTTGCAAACATAACACTATTTTTAAAAAATATATATTTTATTGATTTTTTACAGAGAGGAAGGGAAAGAGATAGAGAGTTAGAAACATCGATGAGAGAGAAACATCGATCAGCTGCCTCCTGCACATCTCCCCCGGGAGATGTGCCCGCAACCCAGGTACATGCCCTTGACCGGAATCGAACCTGGGACCTTTCAGTCCGCAGGCTGACGCTCTATCCACTGAGCCAAACCGGTTTTGGCAACATAACACTATTTTAAACAGTCTTGCAGTGAATAAATTCGTCATTTTATTTTGTCTTAAAAAAAAAGTCAAAGGAGGACAGAGGCTGGATTTTTTTAGTAATCACTTGAATCGACATTTTTGGTCATGGTTCTTAAAAGTCCTATAACAATAACACTGTCTAACATAACAAAATTTTCCTAATAGTCTTATTATAAGACATTTCAAACATACAGTAAAATTGAAAGAATAGTCCAGTTAACATGTGTATTCCCACTATCAGCCTATTTGTGTGTGTATGTATTTCCTGAATCAATTAAAAATAAGGTGCAGAGCCCTAACTGGTTTGGCTCAGTGGATAGAGCATTGGCCTGGGGACTGAAGGGTCACGGGTTCAATTCCGGCCAAGGGCATGTACCTTGGCTGTGGGCACATCCCCAGTAGGGGGTGTGCAGGAGGCAGCTGATCGATGTTTCTCTCTCATCAATGTTTCTAACTCTCTATCCCTTCTCCCTTCCTCTCTGTAAAAAATGAATAAAATATATTTAAAAAAATAAAATGCAGATATCATGACATATTACTCTTAAATGCAGCTATGTGTGTTTCCTAAAAATAAGGACATTTGCTTATGTAATCACAACATCATTATTACACTAAGGAATTAATCATTCCTTGATATTATCTAGTAGCCAGTACATGTTTAAAATTTCCTTATTAAATATATAATTTTAGAATTGGAAGAGCCTTTAATGATATCACTTTAAAGATCAAGGCTTCACAAGCATAACAGTTCATTAAATTATAGCTTCCCAAACTCCATACCAGAGATTCTGATTCAGTAGATGTGGGATAGAGCTCAGCAATCTGTTAACCTGTAACCTTAAAACAAAACAACATCTCCCTATAACTGGGGTGACTATTCATCCCAGTTTGCCTGGGGTAACAACCTTAGTTTAGTACTGTTTTCCCAAAAAATAATTAGTAACATTTATCACTTCAGAAGTTTAGACAATAAATCACATGGTTACTCTACCTGAAATTAATAATTCTTCCTCAAAAGAGAAAATAGAATTCAAAGGTGGTCAAGAGATTTATTTGCTCAGAGTAATCAGAGCTATACAGTTTTGCTTTTTAGTCATTAATAATTTTAAAGTTATCAACCATGTACATAATGATTACATAATGTAAATGTATAAAAAATCATTTAGATTGAATTTATATAATTTGCTGCTTTTAAATATAATTACTTCTACAATAGAGAGAAAGAATTGGTCAAGTAAATCATACTATCCTTGGCCATCTCCAAATTTAGTAATCCAATCTGGAAATTTGCTTAGAGCAGTTAAATAGGTCTTCACAGTACTTAAAGGCACACTCCTTGTGTACAAATAAACATGTTAATTAAGTAATCTTTCTTTGCCGGGAATGCCTTTTGTCCTTAAAAGTTCATTTAAATGTCACCTCATTTACACAGCTTATTCTGAATACTTTGTGCAGTTATGACATTCTTTTTCTTGATATCAATTTTACTCAATGGTAACTAATACATTTTTATTTTGATGGCGCATTGATGTGCCTAAGACATAAGCAGAAACACTTAAAAACACTCAGGTGCTGGGTGCCCATGAGGAGCCCTCCCCGCACCCACACGGTGTCTTCCGGGTGAGCCAGGTCGCAATCGCTGGGACCACAGGGGCCAGTCAGGCTCCCCGTGGGTTGGCGCAGGAGCTGGTCTGCGAGGCTGGCTGGGAGAGAGCGCGCTGCCCTCCCGGCTTCTGTGCATTGCCACTGGGCGGCCCAGAGGCCCACACTGCACCCTAGCTCACAGCGTCTGGCTGCGGTCACCACATCTTCGTGTGGGGGACTCGGGCGCCATGATGCAGGTGAAGGGGGGCGCGGGGCCCCGGGGGCCCAAGTGCTGCCCATGGCCCAGAGGTCAGCTGGAACCTCCCCTTCTATGCCAGACGCTTGTGCTTCAGTGGAAGGCCAGGCCTAGGGATCGTACCTGTGCACAAATTTCGTGCAGCACACCCTTAGTTGTTATATAGCACTAGATATGGACATGGGAAAATACCTAGTAGTAGAATGGTTGGATCATATAGTGGGTGTATGTTTAACTTTTAAGAAACTGCCACATCGTTTTCCTGACTGGCTTTGCAATTTTGTATATCCATCAAGAGTGTTTAAGCCGAAACCGGTTTGGCTCAGTGGATAGAGCGTCGGCCTGCGGACTGAAGGGTCCCAGGTTTGATTCCGGTCAAGGGCATGTACCTGGGTTGCGGGCATATCCCCGGTGGGAGATGTGCAGGAGGCGGCTGATCGATGTTTCTCTCTCATCGATGTTTCTAACTCTCTATCTCTCTCCCTTCCTCTCTGTAAAAAATCAATAAAATATATTAAAAAAAAAAAAAGAGTGTTTAAGATTTCCAGTTGTACCACATCCTTGCCAACAGGTAGTGTGGTCAGTTTTAAGGTTAGTCCTCTAGTAGGAGTGTAGTGGTATATCATTGTGGGTTTAATTTTCATTTTCTTTGACTAATGTTGAACATCTTTTCATGTGCCTATTTATCATCCATGCATCTTCTTTGGTAAAGTATCTCTTCAGTTCTTTCGCCCATTTATTGTTGTTGTTGTTGTTAATCCTCACCTGAGGATATTTTTCCCACTGATTTTTTAGAGAGAGTGGAAGGGAGGGAGGAGGAGAGAGTGAAAAACATTGATGTGAGAGAGACACATCGATCAGTTGCCTCTTTGCGTCCCAACCTGGGCCAGGGTTCAACCTGTGCCCTTGACTGACCGGAAATAGAACTGGTGCAGGGGCCTACACTCTAACCACTGAGAAACAGTGTCTCTTTTGCCCATTTTAAGATTGGGTTATTTGTCTTATTACTATTGAGTTGTAAGAATAATTTTTGCTTTTTGTGTTGTTTTTAAGGAATATTTGCCCCACCAATAAATTCAATCATAAGAAAGAATTAATAAAAGAATATCATAAAGCATAAAAAACCCCAGTCTGTAAAAATAGTTTTTGCCTTCAGGGAGCTTATAGTCTAAATATATAGAGTCTAATACAGTAGTTACATCTTTCAATTGGAATTGAGATATAAGTGTAAAATATATACTGGACTTTGGAGAGTTCCTATGAAAAAGTAAAATACCTGAACAATTTTTATATTGATTATATTTTGAAATAATATTTTGGATATATTGGGTAAAATATATAATTAAAGTTAATTTCATGAATTTCTTTCTACTCATTTAAAAATGACATAGAAAATTCAGATTTGACTTGGGGTGGTGAACACATAATACAATATACGGATGACATATTATAGAATTGTACACCTGAAACCTACATATTTTTATTAGCCAATGTTACCTCACTGAATTCAATAAAAAGATTTAAAAAAGAAAATTTTAAATATTTGGCTTGTATTGTAGAATATGTTTCAGTGGGTTTGGGCCCAAGATTGTCCATTTCTAATAAGTTCCCAGGTGATGCTGGTGCTGGTCTGAATAGACTTTGAGTAGCAAGACTCTAGACTAGATAAGAAAACACACAAGTAATAACAATACTGGTGTGATCATTTCTATGGCTGGGCAAGAAGAGGGTGTTTAGAAGCATAGTTACTGCTTTTCACTCTGCAAAACAACCTATATTTGTTAAAGCATTTTTGCACAGACAATTCTGATCCCTTCATATTGATTTATAAATGACTAGAGGCCCAGTGCACAAAAATTTGTGCACTCAGGGGGGAGGGGGGGTTCCTCAGCCCGGCCTGTGCCCTCTCGCAGTCTGGGACCCCTTGGGAGATAATGATATGCTGCTTAGGCCTGCTCCTGGGTGGCAGAGGGCAGGCCCAATCCCTAGGTGCAGCCCCTGGTTGGGCTCAGAGCAGGGCCGACTGGGGAGTTGGGGCGCCTTCCCCTGTCATGCACAGAGCAGGGCAGATTGGGAGGTTGCGATGCCACCCTCAGTCACGCTCAGGGTAGGGCCGACTGGGGGGTTGGGGCACCGTCCCCTGTCACACTCAAGGCAGGATCGATGGGGAGTTTGCGGCGCCACCCCCTGTCACGCACAGAGCAGGGCCAATCAGGGGGTTGGGGCGCTGCCCCCTGTAACGCACAGAGCAGAGTCAATCAGGGGGTTGGGGAGCTCCCCCCTGTCATGCACAGAGCAGGGCCGATCAGGGGGTTGAGGAGCTCCCCCCTGTCACAGAGTAGGGCCGATAGGGGAGTTGGGGCACCGCCCCCTGTCACACTCAGGGCAGGGCGGATCAGGGGGTTGGGGCGCCGCCCTCTATCACCCACAGAGCAGGGCTGATCAGGGGGTTGGGGCGCTGCCACTGTCACACTCAGGGCAGGGCCGATGGGGAGGTTATGGCTCTACCCCGTCACACACAGAGTAGGGCCCGTGGGGGGGGAGGGGTTGGGGTGCCACACCCTATCACGCTGATCCCGGTACTGGGAGGCATATTACCCTTTTACTATATAGGATAGAGGCCTGGTGCATGGGTGGGGCTGGCTGGTTTGCCCTGAAGGGTGTCCTGGATCAGGGTGGGGGTCCCCACTGGGGTGCCTGGCCAGCCTGGATGAGGGGATGATGGCTGTTTGCAGCTGGTCACACACCCTTCAGGGTGGGGGTCCCCACTGGGGTGCCTGGCCAGCCTGGGTGAGGGGATGATGGCTGTTTGCAGCTGGTCACACACCCTTCAGGGTGGGGGTCCCCACTGGGGTGCCTGGTAGTCTGGGTGAGGGGCTGAAGGCTGTTTTTAGGCCGACTGAAGCTCCCAACTGCTCCTTTTTTTCTTTTTTTTTTTTTATTCTAGGCCAGCTTTAGCTCTGGCTCCAGCTCTGAGGCCTCTGCTGCTGAAAGAAGGTATCTGGTTTGTTTCGGTTCTATAATCGAAACAATGTATAACTCCAGCTCTGAGATCCCGGGCTCGGGCTTGCTGAAAGCAGGTTTCTGGGGTTTTGTTTAGCTTCTATATTTGTTATAATGTTTCTTAAACTGCAGGCTCAGAGGCCAGCAAGGCAGGCGGGGAACATTGCAGTCCTCCGTCACTGAAGCAAGCAAGCCTCATGTTCAGTTTCAAGCTGCCTGGCTGCCGGCCACCATCTTGGCTGGCAGTTAATTTGCATATCTCGCTGATTAGCCAATGGGAAGGGTAGTGGTCGTACTCCAATTACCATGTTTCTCTTTTATTAGATAGGATTAGCATGCTATATTTAACTACATAAATATATATTTATCTGAATCATGAGCTTATCTTTTGCCTTTATTTAAATGATTATATACTAGAGGGATGTATCTACTAGTACTAGTATTCTAAACTTTATTTTTTTGTAATGTATTTTTATTGATTTCAGAGAAGAAGGGAGAGGGAAAGAGAGATAGAAACATCAATGATGAGAGGGAATCATTGATTGACTACTTCCTGCACGCCCCCAAAGGGGATCGAGCCCTCAACCCCGGCACGTGCCCTTGGCCGGAGTCCAACCCGAAGCCCTTCAGTCTGAAGGCCGATGCTCTATCCTCTGAGCCAAACCATCTAGGGCTCTATTCTACATAGAGATGAATAAGGATCATTATAAAGAAGACATTAAAGAAGTATAATATTTTATCATAATGGAAAAATACACAAAATACTTTGCTGAACTGGATTCTCCCAATTATGAGCAATACTTTTTTTAAAAAAAATTATGTCAAGACAGGAAATATTTTCTAGAAGTTGCACAAACAGAGTAACCTACAGAAATAACATTATTTCAGATAAATGACCTATGGCAGCGATTTTCAACCTTTTTCATCTCATGGCACACATAAACTAATTATGTGTTTTTATATGTGTTTTTATATGAGTGGAAGGGAGGGAGGAGGAGAGAGTGAAAAACATTGATCTAAGAGAGACACATGGATCAGTTGCCTCTTTGATTGCGCCCCAACCTGGGCCAGGGTTCAACCTTTGTCCTTGACTGACCGGAAATAGAACTGGTGCCGGGGCCTACAATTCTTCCAAAATTAGAATTCTACTGAACACCCAAAAATTTTTTTATGCCGATCTGACCAAAAATAGGTATAATTTTGATTTATTCACACGAGATGGCTATTGTATTGGCTGTTGTAATTTTTTAATTTGATAGTCTAAGGCAGTGGTCAGCAAACTCATTAGTCAACAGAGCCAAATATCAACAGTACAACGATTGAAATTTCTTTTAGAGCCAAATTTTTTAAAATTGTTTTATTGCTTAAAGTATTACAAAGAGTATTGCATATGTCTCCTTTTATTCCGCCCTTGACAATCCCTTGGCCTCCCCTACCCCCCAGTGTCTTATGTCCATTGGTTATGCTTATATGCATGCATACAAGTCCTTTGGTTGATCTCTTATCCTCCCCTCCTGCTCCCCAACCCTCCTCAGCCTTCCCACTATTGTTTGACAGTCTGTTCGAGGCTGCTCTGCCTCTGTATCTATTTTTGTTCATAAGTTTATAATGGTCTTTATTATTCAGAAATGAGTGCGATCATGTGGTGTTTTTCCTTCATTGACTGGCTTATTTCACTTAGCATAATGCTCTCCAGTTCCATCCATGCCGTTGAAAATGGTAAGAATTCCTTCTTTTTTACAGCAGCATAGTATTCCATCGTGTAGATGTACCACAGTTTTCTAATCCATTCATCTACTGATGGGCACTTAGGCTGTTTCCAGATCTTAGCTATGGTGAATTGTGCTGCTATGAACATATGGGTGCATATATCCTTTCTGATTGGTGTTTCTGTTTTCTTGGGATATATTCCTAGAAGTGGGATCACGGGGTCAAATGGGAGTTCCATTTTTAGTTTTTTGAGGAAACTCCATACTGTCTTCCATAGTGAGAGCCAAGTTTTTTAAACTTAAACTATATAGGTAGGTACTTTGTTATTAACTTAATTAGAGTACTCCTAAGGCTTAGGAAGAGCCACACTCAAGGGGCCAAAGAGCTACATGTGGCTCACGAGCCGCAGTTTACTGACCACGGGAAGGGAAAGAGGTCAGTGCTCCTGACTAAATAGTCATGTATTGCATGTTTTAAAACATGCACACCATGTGTGCCTCTTGTGGCACACCAGTGTGCCTCTTGTGGTACACCAGTTGAAAATTGCTAATCTATGGTCTTAGAGATGTAGTTTTGAAGGTAGAGATGGGGACAGAAAACAGGGAAAATTTCTTGAAGGAAGTGATTCAAAATTAAAAAATAAATCCTCATCCAAGGATATTTTTTCCATTGACTTTTTTTAGAGAGAGCGGAGAGGAGGGAGAGGGGAGGGGAGAGAGAGAGAGAGAGAGAAACATCAGTGTGAGAGAAACACATCTATTGGTTGCCTTTCTCTGCGATGCTTCTGCCACTGAACCAGTCAGGGCTGGAGGAAGTGATTTTTTAAGCCGAGACCTAACATATGTAGGAGTTGGCCCGAACACTCATGATTTTACTTTGAATTTGGATCAAGTTTTTGTTTTGTTAGATTTTGATGTTTATTTTGTTTGTTACAATACTTTAATATCTAAACAGAAACAACCTTTGAGGGGAAACAATGTCAAGTTTACTAATTAGACTTATGTTTAAGAATCTATCATGAAATACTGTTACCTTGTTAGCTTATAATTAAGACTCTAAACCAGCGGTTCTCAACATGTGGGTCGCGACCCCTTTGGGGGTTGAACGACCCTTTCACAGGGGTCGCCTAAGACCATCGGAAAACACATATATAATTACATATTGTTTTTGTGATTAATCACTATGCTTTATGTTCAATTTGTAACAATGAAAATACATCTTGCATATCAGATATTTACATTACGATTCATAACAGTAGCAAAATTACAGTTATGAAGTAGCAACGAAAATAATTTTATGGTTGGGGGTCACCACAACATGAGGAACTGTATTAAAGGGTCGCGGCATTAGGAAGGTTGAGAACCACTGCTCTATAGGGTGCTTTCGAGTCTGTATCAGTTTTACTAAGACTGCCCTAGAAGTGTATGCAAGATCCAAACTAATACTTTGCCATCAGGTTTCATTTAACAAATTTAATATTTGGTCATCAAGTACACATTCAGTAGAAAATATTCTTTTATGAAATGGAGTTTCTGTAGTCATTGCATTCATTTAAAAATATTATATGAGATGAGTTTGTTGGGACTAATAAAAACAATGTTTGCAAAGTTTAAAAAATGATCTGTCCTTTTCCATATTTATTAATGTTCCTAAAAGTTTTACTTTTTTTTTTTTTACTTAGATTCTCTCCTTCTTCACACCTATTTACAGAAGTGACAATAATGCCTCCCCTTACTCAAGAGTAAACCAGAATAAACACCATACTAGGGTTTATTGGGGTTCAAAAAGATATAATCTCTTTATTTGCTAGTGATAAGGAGGGACTGAAATAATAGAAAATAGTCCTGAGATCAGAGTAGCTTTGTTTCCATGATTTTCCACTTACAGTAACAATGCAAGCAGGTGCCAAAGGGCTTCAACCCTTTACTCCACTTTGATATCGTCAATTCGCACTTTAGCCTTCATCTCCAATTTTCCCTTCCCCACTGTAGACATGTAGAAATTCTGGAGTGACAACTTATTGTATCTCTCTGGGTTATGCTACTACCCTACTGCTTGTGTCGTGTTGCCCCAACCTTCCTCAGCTAGGGAACCTTGGGATAGGTGCATTAGTAACTGCCCTTGCTTGTGTTTGATCTCAGCATTCTGGGGTAAAAAGTGCCCTAGAGAGTTAACAGAACTGAAGTTTAATTCAAGTTTTGCTACCAATTAGCAAGTCACTTCACCTTCCAGTCGTTCATTCAGTTCATCTTACCTATTGATGAAAAATCTAATTTGGGTGCTGGTTTACACAGTTCCTACCCTCAAGTTGCTTACCTTGTAATGGTAGTGATGATGGAGGTGGTGACAGACAAAAAAAAAAAAAAAATACCTGAGAAATTATGCAGAACTTGTGAGGACTATGAAGGAGAGAAAACAGAGTGATGGGGTGGGGATGGTATGTTTTTTGATACAGGGCATCTAAGATTTCTCTACGTAACTGAAAAATGAAGGGGTTGAACTGGATGCTCCGGGCTCTTGCGGATTTAGACATGTTTTTCTTCTTTTTGCTATGTGTGCTAGGAAGGCCTACCAATGCATCCAGTCTGGAATAAATGCAAATATGTTTAAATCACGTGTTGCATCGATTTTATATTGCCTGATTTGGAAATAACCCACACAAGAGGCAATAACTAAACGTTTTGGAGTAGTTGCTGGTCATTAAAGAACAAAAGCCCCAACTTAAAAAAAAGGCGGGGTGCGGGGCGGAGAGCGCAACCGGAGTCGCCAGCTTATAACTCTGTACTCAGACGTAAGCCTAGGACGCGGAAAGAGAGTTTACTAAGTGCCCGGTGGCTGAACCTGACCGCCGCTGGGAGGGCGTGGAGCCCCACGGCCCAGGGAGGAGGAGCCAGAGGAGGGCGGACTGAAACAGCCACCTCAGCGAATCTGCAGGATTTCCGCAGGGTGGGGGGGCCTGTGTCGCCCGGAAGAAAGGGCTCCGGCCGCAGATGTCTTGTGATTACGTTGGGAGCCTTTTTTCACCAGTTGAAGCTGCCGAAGGAAGAAGGGTCTAGATATGGCCACGGAGGGCCCTGTCACGTGTCGTGTCCAGGTGGCAGAACATCCCAGGTGGGGCAGAGGAGGCGCCGCTGTTAGGGGGTTTGGGACCGCCTGGGTTGGCTAGGTGCAGACGGTGTCCGTGGCTTTGACTTCACAGGGGCACCGCGCTTTCCCCTGGGAGGGAACGGAAGCCTTGAGATTTTTATGAGGCTGCGCCGCTGGGCTTGCAAGGAAGACCACGC